TTCTTAAATTATAAAAAACAATTATTATTTTAAGACAAATTCAAAAAATATTTGTATCCTAAAATAAATAAATAAAGGTGACATATATAAAATAAAGCACTACATCCTTGATTTGTACCTTTTAATAACTTTCGTGTTTGTGTTCCAACTTAACTATGTACGTTTTTATAAATATACAGTCATATATTTCTTTATGTATATGTATTTTTTTTTTATATTTATAGTTAAGATGTTTTCAAATCAACTTTCTTATATTTTAAAATTAATTCTTATCTGAACTATTTTAAAGACATACCTTTTATATCAAACTAGGGCATTCAAGGAAACTTATGTTCATATATTATGTAACAACTTAGGTATATATTTTGCAATATGTTTAACTATATTTTAATTTGAATTAAAAGGTTATAATATTCAACAAATATATAAGTATATTTGTATGTATACTTGTACTTAATGAGTCCAATAATAAGAATAGACTTTTAATATCTAAGTAAATACTAAATATCAACATTTTATATCTATTAATTTTCAAATTAAATATAATATAAATAAATACTTTACCCATGTACTAGCTTAGCTCACTAACACACATGAATAGAATTGTAAATTGTGAATTGATCTTACACACCTAAAGCTTACGGTTAAAGGGATAGTAATAGGTATTAAGAATTTTTCTTTTACTAATTATAATTTTTTTCAACCTTAATAAAATTCAAAAATTTTTATCTATTTCTTTTTTAAAGAAGAATTAAATTTATTTGATTACTTAACATAGTTTTGAGAAATATTCTTTTGATTGATTCAACTAAAAAGTTGATAAAAAGAGATAAATAACGTGGCTAATAATTGAAAAAAAAAAAGTTGATAAAATATTCATATAGATAGATATTAATATGGGGTATGATGTGGCATTGGTGGGTCTTATATAGCTAAATTGAAAATTAAATAATATAGAAACATATGTTAAATGCCAAACTGTTAGGCTTTAATAGTTAAAAATGACGGTGTTGGCCATGGAATGCATAGAGGGATGAAATTGATCACTTTTGGAATAGCAGAGGGAGGACATGTGAACTCAAAATGAAGTAGAGAGACGTCCTGAGATGATTTCATAGTAGAAGGGTTAAATTGAACTTTTTCACAAAGTAAAGGGATGACCATTGGCTTTAACCCTAATAAATGTGAGTATGGCGACAACGATAGCTGCGTTTGTTGGGAACAAAGTTAGGAGAATATTTACTAACGAGAGGTTGGATCAAGTGGTAAGCGACTTATTTCAATTTAAACAAGATTTCAAGTTCGAGATTTTGTGAACGCAGCAGTCTTCGTTGAGAGACTCACCCACTATTTTCAGGTGCGCGACGCAGGTCGGGTCCGAATTAATCTGGACGAAGCTCCGGATATCATACGGGAACCGAAAAAAAAGTTAGGAGAATATTTAAATCCAACCGAAAAGAGGTACTGATGCAGGCTAATTATCACCATCTAGTGTATTTCTTTGACCAGGTCAGCCATACTAGCCCTCAATTATTTGGAGATGACTTCTCAGTATGGTTGTCGTGCACGATGGTTTGGAATAGAGCAATGTTGCAGGGACCGATCGGTCCTCAAGAATGGGTCCTCGTAACTTCTTTATATATTATATTCAAAATTTGACATATTTTAGTTTTATATTTACGTCTATAAATGATTTTAAATTGTTAAACATTAAGATTTTGTTTGAAAATGTTATAATATAACTGTTTTTGAATTTGTAGGTTTTTTTATTTTGTTATCTAAAAAATATATTTAATATTTATT